GCAACGAAGTTAAGGGCGGTCGAGTAGCCTGCCCAAAAACATGGGGAGGTAAAACGCCGTCTCTGCCAATGGATATGGCACACAGAGAGCAACTCCCGGACGATGGCGGGCAGCACGCGGCGCATAGAGAAGTGCGGCACAACGAACAAGTTTGGAAGCATGGAGGTGTCCCGGGGATGCTGGTCTTGACATTTATGTTGCACCGAGGGCAGACCCTCTCCTCAGCGGAAGATCGGCGAATATCGGGAGCTCCAATACCGCCGACGCCACCGACGCCATGCACACCCTTACCGAGTCCTGGTGGAAGAGAAAAACCAGTTGGCCCGCCAGAGTTATCCTGTGCTCCGTGGTGAGGCTGTGGATTCTGCTGATTTGTCACAGCAGCGTCAGGTCCGTATCTCCCGCGAATGACTCCCTGAGACGTTCCATGCTCAACCTGACCGGTGAAAATCCCCCCTGTAGGGGAACATCCGGGGTACGTGTTGATGGTCCCCCTCGGAACTGCTCGTCCGACTACGGGCGAAGACATTGCCCTTGGTGGCATTGGCCCGGCAGCTCCGGCGTGGGAACAGAAACCAGAATTCCCTTGGTGCGGTTCAGGACTCCGATGTGACGGATCTCCACGTGATGGCCCGGATCCAGGATCAGGAGCAGTGCCATCCCGCTGATTATGATCAGGAATGCAATCAGGTCCTCCAGGCCCCGCACTGGGGCCGCGATGCTTAGTTTTCCCGTCGGGATCAGCTCTCAGACAACCGAGGCAAATAGGTCGAACACTCGACCCAAAACGACGTACATCGTCAGGCGAAGCGATGTGTTGATCGCAGTACTCGTCCTTGCATATGAGACACCTCACAAGTCCGTGTCTCCCCCCTCTTCCTCTGCATGCGCGGCATCTAGGAAACTGATCGCTGCACTTGAAACATGAGTTACAGTCATGGTCAAAGCAGTCTTCGCAGACTGACTTGCCGCAGCTTCGGCATGGATAGCGAGGTTCCCGATGCTGTGGATGCCCTGGCTCCTCATGAGCACACCTGGCCCGGTTATCAGGGGCAGCGCCGGCAGCCCGAGCAATGGCCCTCGTTCTAGAGGGATCCCTGCCGAAGATGGGGGCTGATGGTGATGGTGGGGGTGGCCCCGAAGGAGGTGGAGGTGGAGGAGGCCTCGCCGAGCTGACGGTGCGAGCATCACGAGGAGGAGAACCTCTAGGAGCCCTTCCCTGGGTTAAGGGATCTGTGTCTCCAGATTTCTCCCATGATCCCGTTCCGGCGGTCGAACCAGCGCCAGCACTTGAGGATCCGCAGGCAGCAAGAGGTTGCTCCCTCAATTCAGCGATCTGCATGTTGATCTCATTGACCCTCAGCACAAGCTTCATAAACTGCTCTTGCATGTCCCTCGGATTGGGGCCTAAGCTTTTGTCATGAAGGTCCTTGACACATCTAGCAATGCGGGACAATTGAAGCTTGAATTCTTCCTGTTTCTGTGAGTTCTCATTGAGGGCTCCGGATACCTTATCACTGAACTGCTTCAGGTCGGTCGCAGGAACGAGATGCTGGATATACGTCTCGACGTTCCCACGGATGGTTCTTTCTCTTGAGATGGTTCCCTCAATGTCGATGACACTGCGAGAGTTCGCCTCAACTTCGTCTTTGATTTTCCGAACCTCAGCCTCAAGGGCCCCGATCTCAGAAAACCTAAGAAGCTGGACCTTGGCGTTCTCAAGTGATTCGGCCTGCTCGCGAAGTTCAGCAGCGGATATGACGATCGAGTTAGATCTCTCATCATACATCTTGAAACGCTCATTCATCTCCTTCTCGCTTCGGGCAACCCACTCGTGGAAATCACGGAACTTAGCCTCGTGTTTTGAGAGAGTTCCGGCAACAGCAGAGAAGGATGATTCAACCTTCTTCTCGAAGGCGTCAACACGGTTATTGATCTTCTTGATCTCACCGACGCAAGCGTTGATATCATCCCTACATGAACGAATCTCAGCTCTGCATCCCTGGATTTCGGCCTTGCACCCCTTGACCTCGTTATGGATCGCGAGAAGCAGTCGTTGAAGCTCAGATGCAACAGGATGGCCGCCACTTGTGGAAGCAGACGGAGCAGGACGACTATCAGCGTCATGATCTCCGCGGCTATTCTCTTCCCTGTCGGGAGTGCAGCCCGGAGTTCCGATTTGAAAGAATGCGGGGACAACGGAGTCGTTGACCGGTTGATTCGAAGGAAGCCCTCCATATCCAGGAGCAACAGTGCTAAGACCAGGTCTCCGATTCCTAGGCGTAGAGTTAATCCCGTCATCAGTCTCCTTCTCAGACATCGGGGCGTTGGAGCTGAGCCCAGACCCCGCAGAGTGTATAGGAACGTCAATAGGATCGTGATGAGCTGGGGGATTAGATCGCAGTCGTAGAGCAGCTTCACGTCTCTCGGGTGACTCAGAGCTCCTCTTTGTGGCTCGTGAGTCAGTGCCGGTTTGTCCCGACACATTATCAAATGATGATGATCCGCGAAGTTGAGCTTGATCTGGATTAGGTTGAGTGAGATCAAGCCGTTGAGCAACGTCACCATTGAGTGGCTTAGGGGAAAGTACTTTGGCAACGCGGCTCGGCGGGAGCGATGTAGTTCGTCTCTCTGGTGTGACCTCGGCCTCATCGATTACATCAAGGATTCCAGGAATGGTTTCATCATCTTCATTTCCTCTCCTGGGTGGCTGATGGAAGGGGATGTCGAGGAGGTCAAATGGAGTAGAGCCAATACCAGGTGTATCCTGCTCGGATCCATCGCTGGTACGGTGGCTGGACTGCTCCTCGAGGTCGATGACGTCGGGGGCGGACTCTTTTCGAGTCTGACGCCGATTGAACGCCGCGAAGAGACCGGCATGGCTTCTTGACGAAGAGAAGGAAGGATTTGGGCCTGCTGTTTCGCGGCCCGCATCCGATCGACTAGTACCTGATGTCCGATTTGGCGGATTTGAGCCCGCGTTGTAGCGGTTCGCATCCCGACCTCGGGTACCTGAGGAAAGCGGTGGATTCGGACCAGCGTTGTAGCGGTCCGCATTCCGGTCGCGGGTACCTGACAGGTGAGATGATACTGCATCAGGGATGAAGTCCATATCCGCCGGACTGGGGTGATCGTGAATGATGTCAATGTCGGATGAACCTGAGACGGGAGGAGGGCCAGCTATTTGCGGCCAATCCTCAATCGCCCGTTTGCCCACCTCGGGTTGGGCCGAACCTGCAACATGAGAAGGGGAGAAATCTTCAATGGGGTCATTTTCTCCATCATGAGGAAAACCCTGAGTAGGCTCATGCGTAGGCAGGGCATCAAAAGATCTGTCAATTCGGGAAGGCTGAGACCTCCAATCGGCATCAAAAAGGGATTGAAAATCCAGATTCCCAACCGAAACGGGGGCACCCGAGTTAAAGTCGAGCCGACCGAAATCAGGCGGTGTAGCCTGCGATCCACTGCCGAGGAGTTGGTCAAACTGATCCCATGTAAGGGACCATGATTGAACCGGCTCCGGATGAGCAGCATGATGGACAGCCCGGTCCTCGATCTGGAGCGCCACGAACGGAACAGTAGGCGAAATCGATGAGGGCACCTGATTTGGAGGAACCTCAGCCTCTTCTAGAGGGGGTCCGTCCTCGATCTGGAGCACTGCCGCCGGGATAGGGGCCTCCGCATCCTCATCAAACACAACCTGAGAAAGGATCCAATCGTCCGTGATCACCCCGGGATTGGGCTCTGCGCCCACCATCGGGGGAATGGGCCACAGCCGGCTGTCTAAGCCGGGGGCAGCAGGCGCGGCGTTGCCGCGAAGGGCGTTGGCCTCGTCGTCCACGAAGCCCGGCCCACGATGAGAAGCTCCGGGGGACGCCATTGCTCGTACAAGTAAGCCAGGTAGCGGGTCACGTCCCGCAACCGGATCACCAACCGGATCACCAGCCCCAGCTTCTAGCTGTTACGGCTGATAACCTGCGGTTTTGGGCGAACACGAAGTAGCCCAGGGAAGCAAATGAGCACAAGGTAGATCACAAAGTGCCCACAGCACCCGGAAACACAACTCGGATGAAGCTGTGGATGATGACCGGGTTGAGGATGTGACAGTAGAAGAGGAAAATGTTTGGGGAGGTTTGGAAACACGTTGCAATAGTAAATCGGGAAGTATGCCACCAAGCCCAGGGCGCCCGCGCCGTAAAACCAGGTACCTCCTAGTGCCAGCCCTATCCCGCACCAAGCAGCAAACTACTTAATGAGGGGGAAGACCGCCGCACTATGGCGCCTGACGTTTTACCGCAGAAGACCTGTCGGGAGGTGGAAAACTTGAGCCAAACGGCCATTCGGCCGTTTTGCCACATGATGAAACAACACGTGAACAAAACACAAAAACAAATAACATTAACTGATTCGAGCTGCACGTGTCCCACATTCCAACAAATCCCCGAAATGGATTTCCCGACTTGGAGGTTGAATGCTTCCCATTAAAACAAAACAAACAAGTCATATTGACTACTTAGAAGTTTCCCGAAATCCAACAAACATCCGGATTAAGTCCACTACTTAGGAGTTGACATGTTCGCAACAACCAACACAAACAAATGAAATGTCATGCAAACCCCTACCCAGATCGTTCCCTAATGTTCACCCGTCCTCTTAATAGGGGACGTGATCCTTCCAAAAGTAGTCTGAACCCCCACTAAACGGGGACACCCCCTGTTTTGCCTCAGTCACCTCTTAGTGACCCAGCAAAATCAGTTTCACCTTGGGAGGCCATAAGTAAACATGGGTTATGTGTTGACCCCATATTGATCAACCCCAGTTTATTAATATGGGGATGATTCCCCACTAAAACCAGGGACACCTCCGATTAATTAACCGGGGTTGAGGAATATGGGGTCAACATTACCAACAAGGGAACCCCACAGCTCAGATCCGGTGGATTCGCTTTGGGGTGCTACCCATGTGCTGCCGCTCGCTCGAAGCCGCTCGCTCGAAGCCGCCTCAAGGGCGCGACGCTGCAAGGCGCCCGCCATGACAGAGCTGGGCCGGCCCTGCTGGTCCTCGTACCTGAAACGCTTCGAGCCAGCTGCAGGGGAAACGACACAGGGATGCACACACGACACACAGAACACACACACAACACACACACACACACCTACACACACGCACGAAAAAGGGGGCCTTCTAGACAACGAAGAAGCCCCGGGGATCCAGAGCCTCGGTGCTAGAGGGGACCCTTTGGCCAAGGCTCCGCTGAGGAGCGGGGTAGCTAGCTTTTGCTGATGTGAGTTCAGCGCTCACGGGGGAAGTTTTCTTGGTTGCAGGATAGTCTTGTTTGGGACCTGTGCAAACAAAAGCCCTGAAACAATAATGTCCGAATTGATCCCCTAAGAGTGTTTATGTTTTAGTGGGTGAAATGGACACCCCCACTCATTACACCCCAAAAAAGCTAAAAACCTAAGGGATGGCAGGGAATTCCCAGATCGCCGTGAAGCGGCTTCTTCAGCTTGCGATTAGGTTGGACAAACAAACTTAGGCAGGGATACGGAGAAAACGGAGCGGGGATATGGGGATACGGATTCCGTGCAAGGCGCCATTTCCCGTTTTTCAAACTTAGTCAAGGTGCATCAAACGGGGGAATCCTCCCGTATCCCTGGTACCCCCTGTATCCCTGCTAGTTGGTTTCCCTGATTAGGTCCTCCGGATTAATGCGAGGTTCACAAATTTAATTAGAATGGGGTTGGGGGGTACTTAAAAGCTACATTTAGCCATGGTAGGGGTAAGCTTTAAACTGTTTGTATTCTTGCTGCATGACCCCAAGAAGCCATCCCTTACGGCTTCCTTTAAGCATAACCCCAGGTTCATGCCGAAAACCCTTGGTCATTGCCAACAAACCTCTCCGGTACCCGTCCCAGGCTTACAAGCCGCTTCGATTGTCCCGTGGAAAGGCTGGAGGCTTCCAACACCCTGTCTAGGTCCTCCAGAGAGGTTAGAATCAGGGTGCCAACTTTTTTCTGATCCGTCGATTTTAGTAGGAAAAAACCCTCTTCCCCAAAAAGAAAAACGGGAAAAGTTGGCACCAATCACTGGGCGACCTAGCACTGCTTCAATCCACCTCCAAACACCGAGAATAAGCAAGAAATTCGGCTGGATGTGCCAGCCGGGAGGGCGGGACCAAAGAACGGCTTGGCAACATAGGTGTCCTTTTAGGTTGGAAATAGATGGGTTTCCCTGGTAGATGAGCAAAAACCACCAGGTAAACCAGGAATCGCCATCGATTTTTCGACCAAATCAACCAAAAATGAAACTTATGCTTGGCAAACGAACTGAACCCAAGCAAGCCTTCTGTCTTTGACGCCTATCTCGTTCGCTCAAAGGTGGGCTAAGTTGGCCGTGAAAGTCAACCTCAGTCGCCCAAAGGACACGAAGATAAAAGGGTGACCTTTTGGGACCCTTGCTAAAAGTGGACCGCCAAGGAACTCAAATTGGAGTGTGATCTAAAATATGGACCTTTTGGGGCCTGGTGCCGGGCACCACCTGTTCAAGGGGATACTTTTGCCTTTTTAGGACCTGGTGCCGCCTTGTGCCGCCTTGTGCCGCCTTCTAGAGAGGATACCAGAATGGGCCCCTGCTTTTGACCTTCACATGTTGGCTTTGAACAACCTGAGCAACGTCTTAGAGGCTTCTCGCAACATTTTCTGTGCCAACTGCCGAACTGCCCGCCTGTGAAGGTAGGAGTTGTTCATGCCCCCGAGGTACTGGATGGCTCGGAACCCGATCTCCGGCACGTAGCTCGAAAGCACCAGATCCACACCATAGCCGTAGAGCTCGTAAGACTGTTTCAGCGGCACTGTTCGGTCCAGCAGCTTCCTTGGTAGAGGTGATTTTCTTTGTCCTAGGGCTGGTTGTTTCCTAGGGCTATTCTCAACATCCCTAAGGAAAAAAAACCAGCCCTAGGTTGTTTTTGTTGAACACCGGATACCAGATTCCTTCAAACAAAATGTCGATGCCAGGAGCTAGACCTCAACTCACCCCTTGCTCTTCTACATTTGAAAGGCACATGAATGCTGCCCTGCGCAAAAGCTTCTTGCTTTGCTGGTGGCTGGGTTTCTGGCTTAACCCACATGCGCACGAGCATCTTGGTACAATCTGCAGCCAGCCGTGCAAAGCAACAGCAACATCACAGTGTAAAACTGCTTGGGGTCGAGACCATCAGCTCATGATAACTACCGGCAGTAAAACCTATTCCGAGCCACGTTGTGTTAGCGCACAGTCGCATTGTGGGCTGGGCTATGGCAAGCCATTCGATTCCACTGCACGACCATTCAAAACTGTTTGAAGACTAAAATAATTGAGCTGCGACCAAACCCGTTGACTTTACGGTTCTAAAGACTTAAATGGGCCTCAATCTAAATCCTCTTTGAACCAGGTAGAACACCAAAGTGGCCAGTCAGGGTTTTGGGCGCTGCGCACTTGAGTCACAATCAAAACCCGGTATTGAAATGGTCTACCCAGAACCGTGTAAAGAATTAAGCAGGCGGATATCCACACCTATTTTTGGCAAGATGGTCCCTTACAAACCTTCATCTACCCAATTTGGTTTTGAGGACGTGGCTCAAATGGTCAGCAAAATCATCGCAATCCTCTTTGAACGAGGTAGAACACCAAAGTGGTTTTGGGCGCTGCGCAATTGGTCATGGCCGAAAATCATCGCAGGCAAGAAGCTTCTGCACTTGCGCAAAGAGGGAGATCTGACCCTCCCAGTACCCAATGGGATCAGAGGACAGGTCGTAGTCAATGCAGGAGGGATCCTCCCCGTAGCTGTTGTCCGTGTCAGCGCAGTACTGATAGGACTCTGCTTCCCGGAGCGTCTCCTGAAAAGGGCCGTAGGTCAAAAATGGGTACGCTGTCTCCCACGAACATGGCGCCTGACAGGGAAACGGTCAAGAGGAAAGTGATCTTCCAGATGCCCTCCAGGTGCCATGTTAGTGGGAGGGAGGGTATCCAGAATGGCTTGCCCTGGTAAATGGAAGCAAGGACTAAATCCTGTGGTCCCCTGGTGGTTTCATTTTGACCCATACTCAAATATATGCAAACAAAAACAAAACGACACTCTTTTTCGATCCAACAGTTCCTCAGACCCGCCAATCACACCGCCTGGCGAAAGAAACTCGACTTGTTGATCAACTCGACTTGTTTATGGGGGATATGCCGTGTGGGTCCTTGACAGGGGCGTGATGCTTCAGAGACGGAAGGCCTCGGCAGCATCATTCGCCAACCACGATGGACCCACCCAGCTTGCTGGTGCTGAGTAGGAAATGACCCAGTGTCCAGGATGAACCCAGGCGTCCCCCAAAAGACACCACACGGTGGGGTTTATAGGGGTGAGTTCCCTGCCTATCGAGCCAGATTGCTTTTCCAACTTCAAACCCATTTAAAAAATTGTCGTCAAACTGCCACCTTTGTTCACATAACATGCGATCTTCACTGTGTCTGCCCGGATACCTATCCCACTTCCCACTTCCCACGTTTGCCACGTGTTTTTGCTGTGAACAGATTCGTGTAGTGTTGATGGAAAACATCCGGCACCAATTGGCAGGCGACTTGGCCCGATACTTGCACGGTTTCATCATGAATTTGTCCATCCACAGTAACTCGATGAGAATTCCAGTACGACGTTTAGTGGGCTCATGCATGTTCGTTCCATAACGTAGTCCAAACGAGCGGTGGGCTAGAACAATACGAGCAGCTTTTGCCACTAACCCCGACTCTTCAACAGTTGTGGTCGTTTCAGTATTCTCATGGACATGTATTTCTTCACCCATGGATTAGTGTTCGATGGATGAGTGTTTCTTCACCATGCAACAATTGCCCTTTTTCCTCGGTCAGTTGGTCACGATAATGCATAGAAAGCACTGAAGCACATTTGCACGTTTGTCCAAAGGAGTACAAATGGGATTATCTCAAAAAAGGGGCCTAAAGTGCGTGGTGTGTTTGGTTTCCCGTAACATGGCCCCCCAAATCGAACCCTAAACAAAGCACACCCAAGCACGGCAAGCAGAGCTCCCGAATAATTTCCCCCCAAGGTGCTCTCTGAAAGCCGGCGGGTTCCGTTTGCTTTGTCACCGCTGGAAAAAACTAGACCACGGTTGGCCCGAAAGCAGAACATCGCAAGCGAGGTCGGCCCAACGCTGCAGGATGCGTTCTTTTTCCCTACACGAAGCATTCGTGAAGCAAGCGCGAGACAGCACCAGGCAAGGTGCTCTGCGCAAACTGGTCGGTGCAAGTTGGTCTGCGCAAGTTGCTCTACGCAAGTTGCACTGTGCAAGTTGCTCTGCGCAAGTTGCTCCGCGCAAGTTGCTCCGGCAAGTTGGTCCCTGCAAGTGGCTCCCTGCAAGTTGCTCTGTGCAAATTGCGCTCCCTGCAAGTTGCTCTGTGCAAGCTGCTCTGTGCAAGTTGCTCTGTGCAAGTTGCTCTGCGTAAGTTGCTCTGCGCAAGTTGCTCTAGGCAAGGCGCTCTGCGCAAACTGGTCGGTGCAAGTTGGTCTGCGCAAGTTGCTCTGTGCAACTTGCTCTGCGCAAGTTGCTCTGCGCAAGTTGCTTTAAAATGCAAGTTGCATCTTGCGACGCCCGCCCGCGGACCAGGGAGGAATCGAACCCGCGACCCGCCGGTTCCGGGAGCAGGCGCGCGAACCACGAGACAACTCCCGAAGACCAGTTCGAACAACAAAAGTTGCAAAAACCTCGAGGTTTTGCACCTCCACCACGCCGATTCCCGCAGAGGGTTGCGCGAGCACCGCAGAAATCGCAAAAAACCATGGGTTTTTGCACCTCGACCACGCCGATCCCCGCAGAGGGTCGCGCGAGCAGGTTAGAAATCGCAAAAAAACCATGGGTTTTTGCACCTCGACCACGCCGATCCCCGCAGAGGGTCGCGCGAGCAGGTTAGAAATCGCAAAAAAACCATGAGTTTTTGCACCTCGACCACGCCGATCCCCGCAGAGGGTCGCGCGAGCACCGCAGAAATCGCAAAAAAACCATGGGTTTTTGCACCTCGACCACGCCGATCCCCGCAGAGGGTCGCGCGAGCAGCGCAGAAATCGCAAAAAACCATGGGTTTTTGCACCTCGACCACGCCGATCCCCGCAGAGGGTCGCGCGAGCAGGTTAGAAATCGCAAAAAACCATGGGTTTTTGCACCTCGACCACGCCGATCCCCGCAGAGGGTCGCGCGAGCAGCGCAGAAATCGCAAAAAACCATGGGTTTTTGCACCTCGACCACGCCGATCCCCGCAGAGGGTCGCGCGAGCAGGTTAGAAATCGCAAAAAACCATGGGTTTTTGCACCTCGACCACGCCGATCCCCGCAGAGGGTCGATTTTCGTGTAGTGTCGTCGGCACTACCCCGCCGCCCTAAGAAGAGATTTTAACTCCTCGCAAGTCAATTGCACTTGACTCCTTGCACTTGCAACTTGCACTTGACTCCTTGCTTGTTTCAAGGAGTCATTGCAAGGAGTCATTGCAAGGAGTCATTGCAAGGAGTCATTGCAAGGAGTCATGGCAAGGCAAGGAGTCATTGCAAGGAGTCATTGCAAGGAGTCATTGCAAGGAGTCATTGCAAGGAGTCATTGCAAGGAGTCATTGCAAGGAGTCATGAGAGCCATTGCAAGTTGCAAGGAGCCAAGTGCATGGAGTCAAGTGCAAGTCGCAAGTGCACGGAGTTAAGTGCAAGTTGCAAGTGCAAGGGGCCAAGTGCAAGGAGCCAAGTGCAAGGAGCCAAGTGCATGCATGGAGTCAAGTGCAAGTTGCAAGTGCATGGAGTCAAGTGCAAGTTGCAAGTGCAAGGAGTCAAGTGCAAGTTGCAAGTGCAAGGAGTCAAGTGCAAGTTGCAATCCTTGCAATGACTCCTTGCAATGACTCCTTGCAATGACTCCTTGCAATGACTCCTTGCAATGACTCCTTGCAATGACTCCTTGCAATGACTCCTCCTTGCAATGACTCCTTGCAATGACTCCTTGCAATGACTCCTTGCAATGACTCCTTGCAATGACTCCTTGCAATGACTCCTTGCAATGACTCCTTGCATGACTCCTTGACTCCTTGCAATGACTCCTTGCATGACTCCTTGCAATGACTCCTTGCAATGACTCCTTGCAATGACTCCTTGCAATGACTTTCATGATGATGATTCCTTGCAATGACACCTTGTAATGACTCTCATGAGAACAACTCAAGTGAACCCAGCGGAAGAACCCTTCGCCATGCTTTCGGGAAAAGTCCAGTAGTGAAATCGATTCCCTTGGAAACCAACAGGGGAAAATGTAACATATTTGTTTCCGCAAACGGAAGTACACACATTCTCTTGGAAGGGGTTTGGCAGTGGAAACTATGTTAAATGAATCGAGGGCACTGAAAAGAAGCTGGATCCTTATATACACCTGAACATTGCCTTGTAAATAGTGGTTTCCCTTTATTTTGGTGGAAAACAAAAACATGTTTCAAATGGTTGCAAATTGCAAAGTGTATCTTTTAAGGAGCCTTCAAAACAGGGGATCTATTAGGGGCGTTGGAAAGGGAGCCCGAGCAGAATCGGCAGGATCGGCACTTCTTCCAAGGGCCCCTGCCCCAAGTGAAGTTGACATGGGATTCACTGATTCCAACTGGAAACTGTCCAGCCAGCCCTTGGCATGTGAAGAAAAGCAATGTTTTGCAGCCAGCCACCCACCGGCTCCCCATGGTTGGGCTGGCTGGACAGTTTCCAGTGGGAATTCTGTTTCTATCAAGTCAAGCAGAATCGCTATCGATTTTCTACCACAACCCAACACCTTATGAAACCAGGTACAACCCGAATCGCCATCTATGTTTCAAAAAAAGAGGACGCCTTTTTGTTTTTGCGCCAAAACCAAAAAACATAGGTGGCCTTTTGGAAAGAAAATGGCCCTGGTACATGGAATAAACCATATCTAAACCAGGGCCCTCTATGTTTTAAGCAAACCAAAAAGGACACCTATGCCAAAAAAAAGCAAATGCTTCGGTCCTGCAGGATGGGCGCCGCCTCCTCGGGTGGCGAAGTGAAGTGGGTGTAGCCGTACTTGATCGCCAGCTTGTCGTAGGCGCCCACCGTCGGAGACCTCAGCCGCGAGACCCGATCCGGATGCATCGGCCGAGGGCCGAGTCGAAGCAGTGCCACTGGAGAATGGGAGCAGCTCGTGGAAGGGACTTCCAAGTCACAGATGCAGGCAATGTAAGATTCTCACTTCCAGAAAGAAAGTAACCAAACTTATTGTTGGCAAAAAGTGGCCTCAAAAAAACTTTAAGCCCAGGAACTGAGGGGATCTTACATACCACGGACCACAATCGTTGCATCTCTTGCTTCGGACGCCCATTCCTTGATTTCAATGATGCAGAGTCACTAAGCCCAAAACACAGGGTTTGGCCAAGCGGCCAAGCCCTTCTTGAAACCTCTTAAAGACCACCGGCGTTACCGTTGTTTAAACAACCCTAAGGACATTGACATACATGGCAATCACCTTGTGAGACCTTGGACCACAAAGGGAAAATGAAAGGTCAAAAGGTTGGCGTGGGACGTCTGAGAGCAAAAAGGGATGCTCTGCAAGTTTGAGAATAACTGGAGATTTATGATTGCGTGTGCACATGCCATCGTGCCCATAATACATACGTGTACGTGTGCATGATATATGCAAATTATTGTGTATGTGGAGTGATCAGCACATACTGCTTCTGCTGCTGCTGCTGCTGCTGCTGCTGCTGCTGCTGCTGCTGCTGCTGCTGCTGCTGCTGCTGCTGCTGCTGTTGTTGTTGTTGTTGTTGTTGTTGTTGTTGTTGTTGTTGTTGTTGTTGTTGTTGTTGTTGTTGTTGTTGTTGTTGTTGTTGTTGTTGTTGTTGTTGTTGTTGTTGTTGTTGTTGTTGTTGTTGTTGTTGTTGTTGTTGTTGTTGTTGTTGTTGTTGTTGTTGTTGTTGTTGTTGTTGTTGTTGTTGTTGTTCTTGTTGTTGCTGCTGCTGCTGCTGCTGCTGCTGCCTGCATGGTTGTGGTGCTGGGTTGTCTTCCTTGGGTGTGTTTGTCAGTACGTGTGTATGTCAAAATAATAATCTGACACCTTGCGAAGCACCAAGCCACCAAGCACCAAGCACCTTGCGAAGCACCCTTCCACGTGCGCAAACAAAAGTTTTGTTGCCGGACACGAGCGGGACCAAATATACTCACATGCCCAGCGGCCATGGCAATCAAAGGGCATCCTTTTTTGGTTGCTCGACTTTAAATGGGAACAAAAGGGAACCACTTGGCAACTGGGTATACATCAGTTTTGGCAAATGGACGGCTTGTATCACGGAATATTTCTGATCCAAGCGGCCAAACGTGAGTGGGTGTCCCGGCTTTTGGCAGATTCATGGCAATGTAATCCATCACTGAAGCCTGAGCATGCTGGATGCGAAAAGAAGGGGGCCCGGATAAATTAAGAATGTACCCATCCCCTTATAGTTTCGCTTTGTGCAAATCAACAAATATGGAATGTTCAGCAGCCAGAATGAGCAGGCAAAGTGTCTGGTGGAAGCCTTTGGACATAAGAGGGTAACCAGTTGGGAGCTTTTGCTAAAACTGGACCAAAAAGTGGAAAGCAAAATGGTTAAAAGGTTGGCTTTGAACAACTGAGCTGCTTGTGCTGTCTTTGACCCACGCGAACAGGGTGTCAAGTCTGGAGAAACACGTCTAATTGAGCAGCAACTTGGGTTCGGACCATCTTCAATCAACCAGGACATGAGTCACAATCAAAACCCGGTGTTAAAATGGTCTACCCAGAACCATGTAAAGAATTAAGAAGGCGGCCGCAACTATTCCTGGCTGGGATTGTCTCTTACTAACCTTCGTCTACCCGAATCGGTTTTGAGCAAGTGGCTCATGTGGTTGCGGGGAACGAAAAGGAAAACCATCCGTTTCAAAAGTCCCGGCCCCCAGGTTTTATCAACCAGATTTGACACGGCTCACATGTCATGTTGGGATCTCAGAGATCAGGGCAGAGAGATCATTGCTCGGCCCAAGATCCTGAAAACAACGTGAACTGAGTTGCCCAAATGACCCAGAAACAAAAGGTTCACCTTCTAGGGCCTTTGCTTTAAAAAGACCAAAAAGGACAAGGTCGACCTGCGGTCTCAAATAAGCATAGATCAAGAAGGGACGGCCAAAAGGTTTGAAGGTTGGCTTTGGGCAACTGAGATTGACGATGCAATGCGCGCCGCCCAATTCATGCTGCCTAGCGGAATTTTTGGTAAAGTGGATGGCACATGCGTAGTGATGTGGCAATCACATCCTATATGCATCTTCTGTTGAAGCGAGTGCATCAAATCTCCGCTGATGCACAGACAAACCATCCAATCAGAACCCTATATTCCTATGTTCTTCTCAGCCTTGGTTGGGGGCCAGAGGCAAACAAAAGGGGGTCACGCCTCCTGGTGTAATTTCGGTCGCCCTCTTGGCCAGCTACACTGGACGTGTCTTCTTTTACGGGACCAGCCAAAACGGTGGTGTCCTTTTCGTCTCCCGAAAAGGGGTACCCCCAAAGAAAGACAACCCCACTCTTAAAAGGTTAAGGTTTAATTTTGCCGGCACAAAGGTCAACCTGTGAACTCCGTTGCGCCTTTGGCGTATAGCCCGAACTGGATGCCTTATTGATTCTCCTCCCAAACTGTAGAACGATCCCCCAAGTCGGAAAGCTTTCACATCCCATGGTCAGCCCCTAAAGGGGGCCCAACACACCCAAGAAACTTTGCCTTCGCAATTTTGAGGGTTGCGGGGTTGGGCCCGAATAGGAGAACTTGCCATGGTTTCCACACCGTCCGACACCTTTCGGGAAAATCGATTCGGAAATCATTATCTTTTACAACCAGATGTCAACCAATTAAACAAAACGTGCCTTCTATTTTGTTCTGTCTACCAAACAGCGTCGTTCAACCTAAACAAACAAACATATTTATATATATATATACACAAAATATTTGTTGGGGACCCCGACTTCGCATCGCCAAAAAGCTGAGGTCCCCTTCTCAGCCGTGCAGGCCATATCCTGTAGACACTCTGGACCTTGGTGACTTCAACCAACGATTCCTTCGCAACCAAAACCCCGGGGATACAAGAACCAAATTGTTGTTGGTGCAACCAAACCTGCGGGGGGTGGGACTGAAGAGTGAAGTTGATGTTTGCTCAGGTGCTTTGGAGGTTGGCCTGTTTGAGGTTTGTACCCATTTTATGTGACGCTATACCACCCAGAATATATATATATATAAGCTTGTGGGTTTTGAGGTTTGCATGCTGATATTATATACCACCAATGTAAGCTTATCTGTACCTCCAACACGTCTCGGAAAGTCCCTTGATTCAGGGCTCCACGGTTATATCGCCCTTGCCGTTGAATAAACCGGGCGAGGCAAACAAACATAGTACCAACCCTAAGGCTCATGATCCTACCAACGCAGGCCCCATCAGGGGCCCTCCAATGAAAAACCCGGACCAATTCCTCAGGGGCCCTTGAACACAACCCATGCAATTGGAGCCTGAGGGCAACGATCCAAGTACCTGGAATCTGCTTCTGTTCAAAAATGGGTCAGTACCAGTCTGCTTCTGCCCCTTCTTGATTTGGGTCCATGACCCCTTGATTTTGGGTAATGACCAATTTGACCCTTCAAACATGAGCCTCAGGGACTATGAGATAAACACGAACAGGAAGTACAAATCGTTGACAAAGCCATGGCTCTTCCGGGAGGCAAGGAATGCTAAACCAACTGGGCCTGTCTTTCTTTGAGTGTGCCCCTTTGGTGGTTTCAAGGGAAACCAACATAGGTGTCCTTCTCATTCTTTTTAACATCCGCTACCAAACATTTAAGAATATCTACAAGATAATCCTTGCTAACTTCAAGATAATATAAAGGATTGCTCTGATCACCGGTAAGCAACAATTCAGAATCTTGGGGGTTCCCCAATGTTGAGAAGAACCCAATTCTACCTAATACTGAACCAATACTAGACCAACGCGATACTAAGACAGCAAGACCAACTCAGGCAGTCAAAATCTTCATACCAGCCTGACGCCGAAGGGATCGCTGGGGAGGGTATTTTGTACAAGGAAACCACCCCCCTGGCCAAAAAAAAGAAGAAACACAACAAAACAAAACGGACATTCTTACAAGCAAAATAAACCCCGCACCAAATATGGCTGGATTGTTTCTCAACGTATCTACTCCAACCTCGCTGGTTGAAACAATCACATGCTTTAAAACAACCAAACAACGAGGCACCGACAGGCAACTGGGCCAGCTTTGGAGCCCTGGGTCGAAAGTCATCAACATCTTTGCCACGGGAAAAAAAACAATCATAGCATCGTTAAAGAGCCGGTATGACCAAAACTGGGCTGTCCTCCGATGCCCCGCTAAAAGTTTAACTTTTGAAACCCCGTCACTAGACCCTAAACAAATAACAAGCTAAGGGGATGGCTGGGAGCCACCAAGCAAACAGTTTGCGCAGGTAACAAAAATGATTCGGACACCCCGCCAAAAGGGTATATTCACGGTCCCACATCAAAAGGTGAGCCCCCAAAATGAAGGTCGGCTTTCCGGTTACATGCAGTGGAAAAAAAGCGATACCCTGAACTTCAGGGTACCCCGTTTTTGTGTTGCGTTCAACAGGAAACCAGCAGGGAACCAACGAAAAAGCAGCCCCTCAACCGCCGGGCTTTCCCCCTCCCCCGGCTCCTCCTTAGAGGAAGCGAGATCTCGCGTGATGGCCAGTGCTTCGCCCTTGAAAAAAGGAGGTACTTTTTTCTGGGAAGCCAAGGGATTTCTTACAAGCAGACATCGCCCTCTTAAACAAAAAGGTCGGGTATTCCTAAATTTGATCTAGCGGGACACGTTTTGAATTTTTGGCTTTGCTTCTATCAATGACTGTAAGACTTTAAATGGGGGAGTCCCTCCCCCGCCACCCCCCCCACTGCCCCCTGCCCCATTTTGCCGGCGGGATGGCTCGATTTGCCCCATTTTCCAACTCACGCGATCCATGGATCGATCCTAGGTCCTCCAGTAGAGAGGCTGGAATAAGGGTGCCCTCATTTCTGTAGGTCTCTTTTAGTAGGGGAACCCTCCCAACCAAGCAAGTTGGATTCAGGGGCACCTAGCTGGAAATAGAAATATACCCCTTTAGGTCATACCGCTTTTTCTGCCGCTGCTTCAGTGGCTCGTTAGAATGGAACTGGACTCCACCCCTAGAAAATGGATCTCGATCGATGCGAGCATGCTAGGTCCTCCCGTAGCTTGCCAACTTTTTTCTGTAGCTCTATTTTAGTAGGGTTGAACCCTCCCCCCCAAAAAAAACCAACCACAAAAGGGGAAAAGGGCACCTAGCTGGGCCTAGCCATGGATGACGAGTCCCAAAAGGCCGAGCCGGGGAGCTGATGGCCATAGAGCCCTTGAAGTTGTGGCGCAGGCCCAGGCAGTGCCCAATCTCGTGAGCCACCACCTCCGTCAAGCCGCTGCCCACCAGCTCCTGGACTCAGCTGAGCTGAGTGGCCCCCAAAACAGTCCCCAAACTGACTCACTTGCCTGGATGGCCCAAAAATCCACAAACTGTTTTACATTCACCACTACAATGGTCCAAGCCCAAAAAGTGTAAAGCTCATGAACTCAGGAAGTGAGTGGAAGAGGCAGCTGGGCAGCGGGGCAAATGGCACGTGGTTGTAAAATAAGCATGGGGAGATGACCCAAAGCTATGGTGATAAGTAAGCCTGGTTCTGAAAGGAGACGTAGAACTTATAAGTCTCCTTTCAGTAGGTTCTAAGTCTAGGCATACTAGCCACTTACTAAGTACCCGATCGCCCCTGTAAGTGCGATAGGCAGGGAATGACCGACTTGCCAAGTGTCGATTAAATGAACCAGTTTTGCGGATTAGCGAGTAAAGGAAACCGAAACCATAATAGGGGATGGATTTTGTTGGGGCCTACGTGTGCCAAACTTGTATGGCAACGCCGAAACCGCTCTAAGACAACTTGTGTTTTGCCACCGGCTTGGTTTTGGTCAACATGTGTTTGCTTACCCACGGATGTGTGGCTTGTACTCTGTTACTTCCCTGTTGCCTTTGATGAATACATGTGGAAAATCGAGGAGCTGTTTTTCGGCCCAAGCAAGGTGGGTCTGTCTTTGGTTGAGAGTGCCAGTTGTTGGTGGAGTAAGGGGACACCTAAAGGACAATCACCATGATTCTTCCCTTTTTTTTGGGGGGGGGGGGCGGGACCCCTACAACATAGACACCATTTCCGGGATGGTTTATGGGGGGTCATGCTCAGAGCCCAGTCCACCGTTGGCAACCAGAAGCTTTGGCCTGCCTGGTCCATGACCCTTCAAGAAACCGGGCCGTTGCCCAAACCAAAGGGTCATGGACCCATGCTTCAAGGGGCAGCCCCTGCTTTTTGAGGGGTGAACTCTTATTTGATTACTGAAATGATTTAAGTACTGAAATGACAACATATGACAACCAAACCCAAAAAGTGACTAAAGTCTATGAACTCGAGTGACTTAATACGGAGGACCCCCCCCTCGTTCCGCGAGCTCGGGCTTCGTTCCCCGTCCTCGATCACCGAAAGCTCGCGCTCTTCGACGATGCTCGCGAAGCCGAAGGACCGACCTTTCCGGTCCGCCAGCTCTGCCCGCAGCAACTGCGTCCTCGTTTGGGCGCGGATCATGGATTCTGATAGATTCTCTGTAAAACCGCACTTTTGCTCGTGCGTTTTTGTTCCCTCTCTCTGTGTCTCTCTTGCTCGCGCTTCCTTTCTTGGCTTCAAGCTCTCCCAACGGCGGAAACGACCGTCCCAACGGCGGAACTCGAGCCCAGACATCGCAAGTGCTTTCTTGATGAAGCTCTTCACGTAATCTTCACCGGTCAAGGATCCGGATGTCACAAATCAACCAAAGCCGCCTTGCAAGGGGGCGAAAGTCTGTTTTGCGTTCCGCGCTTGATGCTGCCTTCTGAGACTGCCTTGCACGCATACCCTCAGCGGATTTGGATCATCTAGGGGCCAACGGCGCTTCTTTCACAGTTTTTTAGGGGCCAACGTTTTTTTGTTTGGTTCATTTTTTCCGGCTGTGGCGGCAGAAATTCCCGTCCAAAAGTACAACGGCGTTCATTTTGGCCCGATGGAGTTCTCAGGTATACAATGCAAGAACCTTTATGGCAACCCGCTAAAAGAGTCTACCCAACAACACGTGAAACGTCCAACAAGGCTGCAGAAGCAAGTTCTGGTCGGAAGCATCTATTAACCTTTGAATATCCAGCATTTTCGTGGCTCACATTTAACCATGGCCACCCAAAACCGATCCTAACTAGGAATATTGTCCATTGCTCATCTACTAGCCTTTGTCAACGAGCCTTTGACTTGATTGCTCACATGATATCGGCTCCTTTTGAAACCGTTAACACACACACAAACAAGGCAAATAGATTAACAATCACGTCAAACCAACAGTGCACTGCCAATTTGGACAGTTTGTCATACCCCAAAAGAACAACTCACCTAAAATCCGCCAAACAGTTGCTTCAAACTTTCAAGCCAGCAAAAGGTAAATGGGCGTAGCTCAAAAATAAAGAGCTAGGGTTACGCAGGTTTTAGTCTTTGGTTCCATTTGCCAAGGTGCCATTGTTGTACCTTTCTTGGAGCCACTGCCAATGGAGCTGGTCAGTTTGTCATACCCCAAAAGAACAACTCACCTAAAATCCGCCAAAAAGTTGCTTCAAACTTTCAAGCCAGCAAAAGGTAAATGGGCGTGGCTCAAAAATAAAGAGCTAGGGTTACGCAGGTTCTAGTCTTTGGTTCCATTTGCCAAGGTGCCATCGTTGTACCTTCCGTGGAGCCACTGCCAAATGGAGCTGGTCAGTTTCTCACACCAAAAAACAACTCACCTAAAATCCGCCAAACAGTTGCTTCAAACTTTCAAGCCAGCAAAAGGTAAATGGGCGTGGCTCAAAACTAAAGAGCTAGGGTTACGCAGGTTTTAGCCTTTGGTTCCATTTGCCAAGGTGCCATTGTTGCATCTTTTTTGGAGCCACAGCCAAATGGAGCTGGTCAGTTTCTCACACCAAACAACAACTCACTTAAAATTCGCCAAACAGTTGCTTCAAACTTTCAAGCCAGAAAAAAGGTAAATGGGCGTGGCTCAAAATTAAAGAGCAAGGATTACGCAGGTTTTAGTGTTTGGTTCCATTTGCCAAGGTGCCATTGTTGTACCTTTCTTGGAGCCACTGCCAAATGGAGCTGGTCAGCTTCTCACACCAAAAAACAACTCACCTAAAACCCGCCGACAAGTTGCTTCAAACTTTCAAGCCAGCAAAAGGTAAATGGGCGTGGCTCAAAATTAAAGAGCTAGGGTTACGCAGGTTTTAGTCTTTGGTTCCATTTGCCAAGGTGCCATCGTTGTACCTTTCGTGGAGCCACTGCCAAATGGAGCTGGTCAGTTTCTCACACCAAAAAACAACTCACCTAAAATCCGCCAAAAAGTTGCTTCAAACTTTCAAACCAGCAAAAGGTACATTAAATGGAGCTGGTCAGTTTGTAAAAGAACAACTCACCTAAAATCCGCCAAACAGTTGCTTCAAACTTTCAAGCCAGCAAAAGGTAAATGGGCGTGGCTCAAAATTAAAGAGCTAGGGTTACGCAGGTTTTAGTCTTTGGTTCCATTTGCCAAGGTGCCATCGTTGTACCTTTCGTGGAGCCACTGCCAAATGGAGCTGGTCAGTTTCTCACACCAAAAAACAACTCACCTAAAACCCGCCAACAAGTTGCTTCAAACTTTCAAGCCAGCAAAAGGTAAATGGGCGTGGCTCAAAATTAAAGAGCTAGGGTTACGAAGGTTTTAGTCTTCAAAAAGTTGCTTCAAATTTTCAAGCCAGCAAAAGCTGAAAGGTAAATGGCCATGGGTCAAAACCCCGCACCCCCAGTGAACATCCCAATCCCAACTAAAATAGACTAAAGTGGGTGGTGCACCTACCCCAAAATGGTCCCATTGGTGTTGACCCGCAGCCCAGCCAAGTGGAGCTGGACAGACACTAGGTCCTCCAGTAGAGAGGATAGAATAAGGGTGCCCTTTGTCTGTAGTCTATTTTAGGGGAACCCTCCCCCAAAAACAGAAACGGTCCAAGTTGGCACCTAGCTGGGGGACCTAGGTTTTAGTCTTTGGTTCCATTTACCAAGGTCACCTTTAAGGTGCCATTTTGGTACCTTTTTTGGAGTCACAGCCAAATGGAGCTGGACAGAAAACATCACGTCTCCTGCTCTGGTGAAGCTGCTTGGCATCGGACCGCGTCCGCGAGGCATCTTTGCTCAGCAGCGAGCTCTTGGCGCGTGTCACCGCCGTGCGTGCGAAGGCGGTCACATTCACCACCTGCGGAATCGAATCCGCGCGAATGGGAGGAGTTCCTCGGTTGCTTTCTGCTCCCCTGTTAAAAGTGACTAACTTTTGGTGGTTTAATATGGAAAACCCATGAGTTGGCAAAAAGTGATTCAGTCCTAACATCCCGCAAAATGCACCAAAGGCTAGAGGGCAGTCCTTACCTGGTGGTTTCGATGGCTTGTTTGGGGATTTGAGGTTCTGGGTCTTGTAGAAATGAGAAACCACCCAAGCCCCACACGTTTCTGATAGGTCAAAATAGGCCAAGCAGAAAGGTTTGATTGCGCTTTGCATATTCCCGAGTGAACCTAGTCGACCCCTGTACTATGATGTCCGATTGGGAGGGGCGGCTGGCTCCTTTGTTTGTAGTGACTTAGTGGTTGGGCAAAAACAAAGATGAAGGTGCTGCACAAACGATCCACAACGAAAAGCACTCCAAGAGCCCTAACTTTTGCAGACCTAGACTTGGCCCACATCCAAGGTACACAGAACACATTCTGTCAGATTCTGTTTTATATTTAGACGCCGAACAACAAGTTTCGGAAAACAAAGTGGAGACCATGCAAAGAAGCTCGTCTGAAACAAACGGGCGCGTCTTTTTGAGGGCACTTGTTGTTGAAGTGTTAAAGGGAAACCAAAACAAACAACTCCATTTTTTTTTGGGGGGGGGTCCCGCAAAAAGAGACGGGCTCCAATGGAAACCAGGAGCCGATCACACTCGCGGATGTTCCGGTCTCTTTCGGCGGGTTTTCGGGTTGAATCATTCCCCTTCAGGATGTGCTTGTCCCTATAGTGAGTAACAATCAATTAGCATATTGACACCCCAGACAGGCCAGTTAACGCTTTTCTCAACAATATCTGCTCTATTCAGGTCCCATATGCTAACTGATTCTTACTCACCATATCGGAAAAAACAATTCGGGGGTGCAAAAAAAAACATCCTCCACAGCTCCACTCCGCTGGCCAGCAAGAGCAAGTGACATCCCAAGTTACGCCTTTTTCTCGAAAATGGAAAAACGTCTGAAGTGTCTAGGGTTTAGGGTTCAGGGTGACCTCCCAAAACGGGTGCCCTCGAAAATGAAACGCGTGACTTGGTGCTTCTCACCAGGTGCTTTGAATTGGCAATTTGGAGCTTAAGGGTGGTGTCCCATTTACTCTCAACAAGAACCAGGGCTGCAAATCCAAATCCAAACAATCCAAAGCACCAGATAGGTCACCTCCGTCCTTATGTTTTCCGATGCTGGAAACTGAACAAAAACACATGGCTACAAGGCTCTGCAGGACATCCCTGCACAAAATAGGAGTCACCCGCAAAAAGTCTGCTTAAGCCCCCTGGAAAAATAAATGCATACATATAAATATATATATAGATATGTCTAAAAAATATATATATATAGATATGTCTATATATATATATATATGTCCCATAGTGATAGACTCCCTTTAACACCAACAAGAGAAACACATAAACTATTCTTCGTTCGCGTTCAGCAATTTTGGGCTCTACGGGACCTCCACGCGAGCGAGTCGGCGAGTCGGCGCCTGCATCTCTAAGTCTTGTAGGTAGGCTTTCACCCAGCTGTCCCCCATGCACACGTCCGACTTGATGATCTCCCCACTACGAGGGTCCACCTAGCAAAAACAAGAAGAGACTACATTTTGATTTATAAAAGCTTATAAAAGCAACAATGCACATCTGGGCTACACGCAAAGCACTCAGGAAAATGTACCTGGCCCTTTTTCTTGCGCACCTGGGCTGTTTTTTTTCTTCTTCTTTTGCACACTGGGCTAAGGGCTACATGCAAACCACTCAGGAAAATATATCTGGCCCTTTTTGTTGCACACCTGGGCTACAATGACAAAGCACTCAGGAACACTACATGGCTTTTTTTTGGCACACCTGGGCTACACGCAAAGCACAAGAAAAAGCACATGGCCCTTTTTTGCAAATCTGGGCTAAGGGCTACACGCAAACCACTCAGGAAAATGTACCTGGCCCTGTTTTTGCACACCTGGGCTACAATTACAAAGCACTCAGGTAAGAGCACATGGCCGAGTTTTGTTTGCATCATGGCACTTAGTTCTCTCCTTTACAGGAATACAGAACGGGGGTGGGGCACCACGGGTTTTTGAATTTCTGTTTCAGGCTGTTAATATATTTGCCGGCTTTGGTTGTTCTATTTGGCCGCTGGGCTACGTACAAGCCTCCCAAATCCAGCTTCCCTGTTGGTTTGGAGGTTGGGATGTTAAGGGGTACCTTCTCAAAAGAGCCGGGGTTCAAATCCCCAAAACATTCCAAACCACCAGCGGAGGGGCAGATCGGCTTCCCTGGCTTGTTTGGTGATCAAGGAGGGCTGTCCCATTTACCCTCTACAAGAACCAGGGCTTCAAATCGGCATACCAATCCAGACCACCAACCTCTAATGTGGACGTTCAGGAGAACCTTGCGCATTTGAGAGGAGCTGGTGCGGCTGCGTCCCAGATTGCCAGCAAAGGCAAACAAGAATTGGCACCCCTTGGTCGTTGAATTGAAACGAGGTTCCCCACTCCAAAAACCCGTTGAAACAAATGAACATTGCCACGGGTTTGGAAAGTGGTCAAGTATAGCACCCGAAGGACAAGTATAACAACCGAAGGCAAATTTTGATTGAAGGCTTCTCAAAATTTTGAAGCCCCTTTTCGGTGGGTGCCCGGGTCATGCCCCCACACCCCCCAACCCTCCAATGGAGAACCCCGACCAGGGACCCTCAAAAAATAACCTCTTCTCAGAAGAGTCAGGACCCTTAGGGAAACTGCCAAAAAACGAACACCCTCTAACAAATACAAACCCATCTGTGTTGTTGTTCCGTTTTTTGTCTCTTTTTTTGGGTTGGGGGGGGGGGGGGGGCGTTTTTGTTTGCCTGATTGTTGGTGGGTAGGGATACTGATAGATAGATCAAACAGATCGGACAAGTTAGATAGATAGATAGATCGATCGATCGATAGAGACCTAAGGAAGATAGTAAGACAAATAGATAGCTACATAGATGGTATGAAACTCTAAGGCAACACCCACCGCCTCGTCCCGTTCCGACCGCGCTTTCGAGCGAAATCCAACGGACGCCTTGGCGATGCCCATCGAGAAGGTGCTGGAGGCCAAGTCCCAGGTCACTGTACTGAACCTCAGCCGAGGGGACCTGGAAATAAAAGGTGAGCACCTGAGCTGAGTCAGAATCAACACCTGGCATTAAAACGTCCATTTGCTTAAGTCCCTGAAGAAAAAAGACAACATATTTCCAGTAGTGACAGCAAGAGGGGAGCAATCAACAAATCTGAAGCAAATCGAACACACTAGTCAACCCAACACCATGGTAAAGAATTAAAAAGGCAGATATCCTCACCCATGTATGGCTGAGAGTGTCTCTTACTACCCTCCAACTTCCCGGTTTTGATTGTGACTGACCTCAAAAATGACCACCAAACCGGGGAAATACAAATTGGTTGCTGGAAGGACCCTCCGCAAAAAGTTGTTCACGTGTTGTGGGTTCAATGGAAAACTAGCTTGATTTCAACCGATCCAATAGCAATCAATAAAAGGTGATCGACTTTTAAAGGGGCAACCAAACCATCTCTACTCTTGGTATGGTAGCAAACAACTTTGTTTGTTGCAGACTTTTAGTAAAAATGAACAGAAGCAAAAAACTAAACAACCAAACAACATGCCAAGAACAGCGAAAACAGTTAAACTGGTACTGTCGTTTGGGGGCCAAACCCAACTAAAATGGTAACCCCAAGGTGACTAAAGTCCGTGAACTCGGGAAACCAAAAGTTGTCAGATGGTCGATTCGCTTTAGGCAAGAGGAACCGCGCGTCCGAGATGTCGTAGTCAGAGGGCCAGTCCTCAGCGGCAAATGAAGCTCGAAGCAAGGCGCTCGAAGCAAGGCGTGGAGGCGCTTGCAAATGGGGAACGGATCTGGGCCCCTGCAAAAAGTTGCCACTTGGGTGTGGCTCAAAATCCAAAGAGCCAGGGTTACGCAGGTTTTTCCATTTACCAGGGGGCCATCACAGCCTGTGTTTGCTTGAAAGGGGAAACAAAGGAAAAAACCAACACTTGAAGTACCCCGGTCTGGAGTCCTTTTTGGCCTATTTTCGACAGCAAAACATTCCCCAAGAATCGGAAATGGGATGTAATTCTGATGTCGTCCTTCCAACCACTTTGCAGGCGAACCGCTGTTAGCAGCAAGGAGCATGGCAAGGGAAGGGGCTTCCCCTGTCAATCCAGCAACCGGAAACTGAGGGACGTAAAAAATATATTTCCGGGCGTCGCTGAATCTCTAAACGCCCCGCTTTAAGGGTATGTTGGGGGAAAACCTGGTTTTGAACAGGCGCCTGTTTTAGACAAGCGCTGACATTGGGTGTAGGGGACCTGTAGGGAAGGAAACCTTGAAGTCTACCCCTGTTGCTGTTATTTGGCCAGAGTCGGGCTCAATAGTTCCTAATATTCCACATCTATTCTGCTACTAAGAGCTTTGTCTGGTTAAGACTGTTGAAACCTTGCTACCATAAAATGAAACAAAGTCCACAAAACATTCTTTGACGCACTCTATTCCCCTACACCCAAAAACCGCCTCAAAAACAAAAACAAAACACAAACACTGCAACATACGGCCCATACCCGTATGGCTGGGAGCCACGTAACTTCGGCCCTCCCTTGTGGTTCAGCCACGCCGCGGCATCCTCCGGCAAAACGGCCTGGACCGCATTGGGCCTTTCAATCAGCGTGAAGGCATCGTTCCAGAGCTCGATGCCCTTCCTATGCTCTACCGATCGAGTGGACTGGCCAGAAGAAAAGTCCGAACTTGTTGTTTGCCACTAAAAAGGTCCAAACCCAAACAACCAGGCGCGGAACTCAGGAAGTGAGTATCCAAACAGAAAACCAAACCCAACGTGTGACGTGCCGCTTCCAAGCGAGGCACCTGAAGTAGGGCCGCCAGCGCTTGGGAACGCTCGGATCCACGTAGAAGCGGAGGGTCTTGTCGCGATTAACGTTGTACCTGGGGCACCGCTCAGCAGAGACCCCTACTACCTAATGACAAAAAAAACTTAACAAGACTAAGTAGGGTCAAGCAAGGTTTTCATGTCGGATTGACCTTTGACCCCCTTCAGCAAGTCGCAATTGTTGGTATTTCCAGAGCCAACAGGTGATCGTAGCAAAGAGGAACCAAGCATGGTTTTAGTGTGGTTGAAGGGTCCCATCAACTTGTAATCGACTTGGCCCCCCAAGCTTCAATCAACATCCACATGCAGGGCAAATAGATTCGCTGCAACAGATGCAACAGCTGAATTCTAGGGATTCCTTGGGACTTTCAATCGATAACCTGGCCAAATTCCTTTTGGTGGGCCATGCATCTTGATGGAAACATGCAGACCCCAAACGAACATTCCACACCTATAGACCTTGTATAGGGATGGGATTTGGGTGTATGTACCCTGTATAACCACTCATTCCATTCGGGGTATGAAGTTGGCCCTTGGAGGATGCCTCTTGGACTGGCAATAAACAAGAAGCCACAAACACATGGGATTCAGGTAGACATGGAGCCATTAGTGTCGTGAAAACTCTGCCAATTGGCCAGGTTCCTTTTCTAGACGCCCTTAGGACAGTTGCGTATCAGTTGTATATGCCAAATGGCCGAGTACAAACGTGTTCAAGTTGGAAGCAAGCAGATCTTTCCTGGCATTTTTGAGCAATGGCATGTGCCCTCTACGATAGAAGTCTGTCACCCCGGAAATCAAAAAACAAAACTGTGCCAATGATACCGGCATTCAAATGGTCGAAGTAATCCTAAACACAAACTGGGACGAACAGTGGCTGCAAATGGCTGCAACAAGATTAGTTGATTGGACTTGATGTAGCTTGACAAACCTTCCGCAGGGTGTCAGGTCTTTTGGTAGGCCAACACTGGAGAAACTCGTGTTTAGGCCAATACTTGAGTAGGGTACGGTGGGGTACCAACTTCCTTGGTGGACACCATTTCGGTGGGGGTTCATGTCCACCAACCACTTAGATGGTTCCGTCTCCGGACCAAAAAAAACACGGGCTTTTTGGAGTTGGTGCCCCCGTTTTTCTGGGCTATAAAGGGAAGCCACCAGGAACACCATGGCGCCATTTTGGGGGTCCAAGGTTCACCCATATCGGCTGAGGCATATTGAATGGGTGCCCGCGAAGCCAGATGTTGGCCGACAAAGCGGTTGGGTTGTTTTTTCATGCCTTTCAGTTGCCCAACTTGGGCACCTAGACGTACAAGGTGATCAACCTTTGGGACCATGTTTTTCAAAATTATCTCACTTCCGAACGAGTTGATAGCCGAAAAAGAGCGCGAAGTTTATGTTTACCACCAACATGGGCTCAACAAAAAGCGTAGAGTCCATGAACTCAGGGAGTGAGGTACTACAACTAGACCAAAAGGGGAAAAACAAACAAAAGGTTGGCTTTGAACTAAGTTTTCATGAAGATCAGCTAAGAGCCCGGGAGAGTTTGTGTCTGAGCGAGTGGCGACTGATTTGCAGTCTCTTCCGAACGAGCGGATTGGCCAAACAGCTGAAACATTTTTTGCCACGAGACTTGTCTAAACCCAAAAGGCGTTTTTTTCTGGGAACAACAAGCACTCCCCAGGAAGAAATACCAGTATAGATTCCCTTCAAAGCCAGGGGTCAACAGACCATACTCTTTGGCAACTGGAAAACCCTGCATTGCTCATAAAATGCGGTTCCTTAGGGTCTCTTTTGGCTCCTTAGGAAACCCTTCCTTAGACCACCCAAACCCACCCGGCACCCCGTGACCCGCCTCCAAATCATCGAGCGGTCCTTGTCCACAGATTGGCTCCGCGTCTCGGAGGCCAGCTTCGGGTGGCTCCCTGGAACCCGACGAACTAAACCAAAGCAGTGGCAAGGCAGATGGGAGGTGCTCAAAAAACAAAACGGACCACCCGATTGGTTGGCAATTCAAGGGAAACCAGGCACCAACCATTGTAGGGGACCCCTATTTTGACAAACACCCATATGGGTGTGTCTTTTTTTTAGGCCCCCCCCCAAAAAAAAGGTGTTCCTTCTGGTCTGCCTAAACCAAGCAAAAGAGGGTTCCGTGTGGCAAGGCGTGTGGCAACCCGAAGAACTAACCAAAGCAGTGGCACGGCAGATGGGAGGTGCTCAAAAAAAAACTGACCAACCGATTGGTTGGCATTTCAAGGGAAACCAGGCAGCGTGGCAAGGCAGATGGGAGGTGCTCAAAAAAAAACTGACCAACCGATTGGTTGGCATTTCAAGGGAAACCAGGCAGCGTGGCAAGGCAGATGGGAGGTGCTCAAAAAAAACTGACCAACCGATTGGTTGGCATTTCAAGGGAAACCAGGCAGCGTGGCAAGGCAGATGGGAGGTGCTCAAAAAAAAACTGACCAACCGATTGGTTGGCATTTCAAGGGAAACCAGGCAGCGTGGCAAGGCAGATGGGAGGTGCTCAAAAAAAACTGACCAACCGATTGGTTGGCATTTCAAGGGAAACCAGGCAGCGTGGCAAGGCAGATGGGAGGTGCTCAAAAAAAAACTGACCAACCGATTGGTTGGCATTTCAAGGGAAACCAGGCAGCGTGGCAAGGCAGATGGGAGGTGCTCAAAAAAAACTGACCAACCGATTGGTTGGCATTTCAAGGGAAACCAGGCAGCGTGGCAAGGCAGATGGGAGGTGCTCAAAAAAAAACTGACCAACCGATTGGTTGGCATTTCAAGGGAAACCAGGCAGCGTGGCAAGGCAGATGGGAGGTGCTCAAAAAAAAACTGACCAACCGATTGGTTGGCATTTCAAGGGAAACCAGGCAGCGTGGCAAGGCAGATGGGAGGTGCTCAAAAAAAAACTGACCAACCAGCGTGGCAAGGCAGATGGGAGGTGGCTTGGTTGGCAAGGGAAACCAGGCAGCGTGGCAAGGCAGATGGGAGGTGCTCAAAAAAAAACTGACCAACCGATTGGTTGGCATTTCAAGGGAAACCAGGCAGCGTGGCAAGGCAGATGGGAGGTGCTCAAAAAAACACTGACCAACCGATTGGTTGGCATTTCAAGGGAAACCAGGCAGCGTGGCAAGGCAGATGGGAGGTGCTCAAGGGAAACCAGGCAGCGTGGCAAGGCAGATGGGAGGTGCTCAAAAAAAAGCTGACCCACCGATTGGTTGGCATTTCAAGGGAAACCAGGCAGCGTGGCACGGCAGATGGGAGGTGCTCAAAAAAAAACTGACCCACCGATTGGTTGGCATTTCAAGGGAAACCAGGCAGCGTGGCAAGGCAGATGGGAGGTGCTCAAAAAAAAACTGACCCACCGATTGGTTGGCATTTCAAGGGACACCAGGCAGCGTGGCACGGCAGATGGGAGGTGCTAAAAAAAAAACTGACCAACCGATTGGTTGGCATTTCAAGGGAAACCAGGCACCAACCATTGTAGGGGACCCCTATTTGTGTCTTTCTTTTGGACCCCCCCCCCAAAACAAAGAAGTTTTCCTTTTGGTCTGCCTAAACCAAGCAAAAAAGGGTTCCGTGTGGCAAGGCGTATGGGAGCTTCTCAAAATGGGAAACCGACCAACCAGTTGGTTGGCATTTCAAGGGAAACCAAGGAACCGGAAGTGCAACAGTGTGGCAGCCTGGCAAGGCGTATGACACGGCATATCAAAATGGTGGACCCCATTTGGTGGAGCTTCTCAAAGTGGTGGACTGGAGTGTCGTATGGAAATGGCGGAGCTATGGGAGTTTCTCAACTTCGTTTATGGGAGTTGCCACAACTCCGGGTCGGTGGACATTGGTGGAGTTGTGGTCCACTCCGGAGTTTGGGAGTTTCTCAAAATGGAAACCGACCAACCATTTGGTTGGCGTTTCAAGGGAAACCAAGAGGCGCCAACTATTGTAGGGGACCCCTAGGTTGAGAAACACCCATATGAATTTGTCTTTCTTTTAGGGGACCCCCCCAAAATTATGGTTTTCCTTTTGGTCTGCCTAAACCCAAGCAAAAGAGGGTTCCCCGGGTCCGTAAAAACATGGGGGCCCTAGTTTACGGGTTAAACAAGTTAGGTCTGGCTTATCTGAGTTGTGGGAAATGGAAATCAAACCCTGAATGATGCAAAATGGCATCATGGGTTCAATATATACAAAAAGGGGCACTCCCCTCCCCACGCCCGCTCTCTTCATAGATGGGCCGATACAACCAGGAATTCAATCCCGCCTATGTCATGGAACTGCGTATCGAAGTAGAGGAGCCGGTCGTCGTTCTTCCGGATCTGCATGGGCTCGTCCGGTAGTAGCACTACCTTGCCGGAAATGCTCAACTGGAATGGGATTTTGGTGAGGAGCCCCTATTTCTAGCTGCCCATTCTCTTCAAAAATCCTTCTTTTGAACAAATGGTTGCCAAAACCCTGGGACGAGTGGCTTCTCGATGGGTGAAAAGAATCAACCCTTAGACTGCTTGCTCACGGTAATCGGAAAAAAAGGGGTTCAAGTGTTGAGACTTTTTGAATTCCAAAGTTTAAAGGAGGCACGAGACACCCTGGATGTTTTTAACCCAGGTCGAAGCTCGTGTTTTAGAAGTGTTCCACATTAGGACTGAAGTCGTACTCTGAATCCCAGTGAGGGTCTTGCGACATAGACCCTCAAACGGCGAAAGAGCACCTTTACTATCCCCATGGATTCGATTTTCTTGTGGCCGGTAAAGCAAGGGACCCACACTTTAATATGGCCATGGGTCAAAATCCCGTACCCCAGTGAACATCCCAATCCCCACTAACATAGAGTAAATGGTTGGTGCACCTACCCAAAATGGGATCCCATTGGTTTTGACCCACACTTTAATATCCAAGAAGGAAAATGGATTGGACTCGACATAATGAAGACTATGGTGGATTGAAAGAGCGTGCCAGGTCCTTGACCCCCTTACAGGTGGTAACCTCCTTGCCAATTTGTGGGTTTTAGCGGGCAAACAGGTACTAAACTGGTCAAAATGTCAAACATGACATGTCATCTCAAAAACACATTTTGGATGAAGCGACAAGCAAGAGTGAGCCTGTTGTTGAATTTCCAGGAAGCCTTTCAGGACCATTCGGCTCAAACAAGCCATGACCACGCTAAAAAGGGATCACAAACTTGCGTCGTCAAAGCGGATGGAGGCCGAAAGCAAGAGCTCATGTCATGCGCCTCGTCTTTTACCATTCCCTAACCGCTGAAATCTATGGGCTCGATAGGCCAGATAGGCGATAAGGGGTGGTTTGGTGCAGCTTTCAAGGAGGGGTCGAAAGGGTCGGGGGTTCCGTGGCTGTTCAAAAAAAACCTGGGCTTATTTTCCCTTCCAAATACATAAGTTTGTCGAACCCTTGCAAAGAAATTGGTGGTTTCCTTGTGAGTCGCTGTGTAGCCCACCCGCAGCAAGGGCAGCTGTGGCCCGTAGTCCGCCGTGATGTCGAAGTTCTTCTGATACTCTTTTGCGTGGACCACCGTGTGTTCAGGGCCCAACTGGGCCTCAGTTCAGTCAAAGCCTGACCTGATTTTCCAGTTCCCTTCGGCACCCCTCTGACTTCCGAACAGGATGGGTGAAAAACGTCGCCAATTTTGTTGTTTTCCACAACTTTCTTCGAAACTTTGAAGCCCAACTCCGGGAAGGACCGTCAAAACCACCCAGGGAAAGTAACACATGTGGGTGTGTGGGTGTTCTTCAGGGACCCTTCCAAATGAGTGGAGTTCCTTTTGGTTCCTTTTAGAACTCAAAAAAAAACGACCAGACCCATATTATCAAGCAAATGGAAGAAAAAAGAAACTGAAGAACTGAGGCTGTGGCTGTGTTCACCACGAAGAAGCCGCTTCCCAGCCTTGGTTCAACTGACCAGTTGGTAAGTCAAATATGGGTGGCTCGTCTTTTTCTAGGCCGACGGAAATTCACAAAAATGGGCTCGGTTTTTCTGTTGGCGTTCTTAAAAAAAAAAAAAAAAAACGGAGCGCCCTGAAAAAAAATACGCCTGGTTGGCAAGCAGAACGTTGTCACCAAACGATTTAACCAAAAACCAAGTCGTTTTTCTCCAACTTGGTTGCAAGTCGGAGCAGCAATCTTTGTGCTTCCACAATGATGCGGCTCTCATTGTCCACGCAGTTAAACCGCGGCAGCGACTCTTGTAAGGTGTTCCCAAGGCCGCGCTCCACCGCGTAGAGCGACTGTGGATCCGAGGTCCGAATGTCCTTACGCCCGACGGCTTTGGGTCCAAAACGAGCGAATTGTACGGGGACAAGGGTGGTCTATGTGTGTGTGTTTACCACTAAACATGATCTCCCCAAAAGCTCAGTTCCCAAGTGGATTTTCGAACAAAAGCAACCAACCTCCACATCTACCACCAAATGGTGTTCCCAAAAAATGCCTAAAGTTGAGGCACCGGGGAAATGAGAACAAACTTGTTGCTAATCATACTTGGTTGACGTTGGAAGGGGAGCAAAATTTAATTTTTAGCAGTTAAGTGGGGATTTCCCACTAAACCACAATAAGCAAAAATGCAAACTGTTTCCCAACAACAACCATGATGAAGCAATCAAACTCGCTGCTTCCAGTTACCACTATAGTAGGTAACCAGGTATTCTTGCCTCTGATGGTTTCCCAACAACAACCATGCATAGGTCCTAGGTTCCCAACTTGAAAGCTCAAAACCTCGAGCCCAGTTCCGCGATGCAAAAGGCCCAAGCCCAAAGCCCCTGGGTTACCTGGTTTGGTTGGCGACAATCCGGTATCGGTTTTGATCTGTGGGCATTCCCCAAAACGTCCATGTTTTTCGCCCGGCGAATCGCATGAAACAAATGTCCAGTAGACTCCCTTTGAAACCAGGGCGGAGGGAAAACGGGAAAACAACATTTGTTTCCAGCAAATGGAAAAAAAGGCTGTGTCTGCTGCTGAATCGACCGTCCAAAACAGGTGTTTTTGTTTCTTCGTTTTTTTTGGCCTTTGCGAAAATTATGGACACACCTAGCAGCAAACAACACATGTTTTGCCCTTGGTCCACGAAAATGATGGGCACCTCTAGCAGCCGGAAAGATGCCATTTTCTGGGGGCCGAATGATGGGCACCTCTAACAGCCGAACAAAAAAATGCCAACTCAGACGGCACGTGTCCATGGGTCAAAATCCCGTACCCCCAGTGAACATCCCATTAAAATAGGTTCTAAAATGGGTGGTGATTTCACCAATCCCAACCAAAATGGTACCATTAAATGGACTAGAATGGGTGGTGAATTCACCAATCCCAACCAAAAGGGATCCCAAAACGGTTTTGACCACCACAGCCACGTGTCCATGATGGGTTTGTACACATCCACGGTTGTGCCGTCCGAGGACACCTCGAGCTCCAAGAGCAGGGACTGGGTGTTTTCCGCGGGGCTGGCGCGTTCGGCCACGTAGCCCAAGTCATCCGCGTACCCCCCCGTCTTGAACATCGCCATAACCAGCACCTTGGGTAAGCCGAAGTTGCAAATTGGTCAGGTGGTTAATGTTGGCCCCGGATTAACAAACTCCTGTTGATTCATATGGGGGTGTTTCTCTCCAAAAGTGAAAAAACTGACCAAACCAGGGACACCCATATGAATAAACAGGGGTTTATACATCCGGGGTCAACAACTAGTCATCCCTCTAGTAGACAGCCCGGGGTTGTTTGGGGGGTCTCAAAACCTGGCTGCTTGGAGGGCCCGCAATTGATCGGGAGCGTCTGGGCAGGTGGTTTAAAGGGAAGCCAGCTCCAAAATAGTTTTTGCGAAGCCCAAAAAGGCCCACCCAGGCGTCCACATTTCCGGACTGGGAAAGACTTACGTGGCCTACCCGGTGAATGCGCTAGTATAGGGGGAGGGCGTGGCATGTGTGCGTGGTAGGAAAATGATCCTTGTTGACGTTGACCACTTTTAGTGGGATGGGTCTGTGGTTTCAGTTTCATTTCAAGCAGTAACCAAACTGGCACGGGTATGATTCTATCCTGTGAGCTGCTCTATTCGCTGAGGCACTACTTGTAACAGAGGACACGCGCACACACCCACACACACACACACCCACAGCAACGAGCGAACCCACCAACAAACGAATAAACGGGCAAGCAATCAAGTAAGCAAACTAGCCAACTAGAAGAGACCAAGCCACGCCAAAGCAAGCCAAGCCCAAGGAACCAAACAAACAATGGAACAAAGAATCCCCCAAAAAGCAGACTAAACCAATTCACCAGCATAAAGAACAAAAACAGCACCACCCCAAACCATTCCCAACAACATAGCGACACACACACACAACCACACACACACACACAACCACGCACACACACACACACACACGCAGACACACACACACACACACCAGCAAATACGAGCACCTTTTAAGGCAAGCTCTTGGGAAGACGCTACTCCCATGACTCAACGCGCCATGGTTGAAACTCGATGTTGTTCTCCGTTTTGGCCTGATTTTACAGAGCTTAGTGTGGCTCAGTTGGATTTTTCCTTCGTCTTGGCAATTTTGGGAGTTGGCTGGAGGGCTGAATTGTTGGGGCTCCGCTCATAAGTAGGAAGACGGGATCAAAGCGTCTGCAACACCCGAACCCGGCATCCCAAAAACGTAGCCGGTCTGAGACGTGGAAAACAGGGCTTTGGATCTCTGGCGTGGCTAGGGCTGTGTGCTGTGACGCTCTGGACCTCCGCGCTGCTGGCCTGAGCTGACCGCGCTGTGTGGCTAAGCCGCCTCACTCCGCCGACTACTGAGCCCGCAGCCACCCAGCGCGCAGCAAAACTTCGCTCGTCGAGTGACACGGGTTTCCAAGTTGCGAGGCGGCCGTCAAGGGAAAAACTGAGAAGTTAATATCCGGGCCACCCTGCCTGCTGGGCACTTTCAAAGTAACAGCGCACCAAGTTTCATCCGTGACTTGCCCACTCGTGGCGGCACCGCTGGGCCAACTCCGCAGGGCGATCGTCCCACAGCAAGAAGCGCTTGCTGCGCAAAACTGTTGCTCAAGACAAACTTGGAGCCGAGGTCGGGCTCGAAGCAGGACGCAGTTTGTCTTCCAGGGTTGGTGGAGCCAACCAGCAAGGGAGCCCAGGCCGATCCTTCGCACACATCATACAAGAACTCGGGCAGCTGGCGCTGCGTGTTGCTCACGAAATGCTGCAAGCTCTGACAACCCCACATCTGCTGCAATTTCTGCACAACCAAGCCCGCAAACATACTGACACACACACACAGTGGCAAAAGGAGGTATGTGTGAGGGCCGCGCTGACACAGCAGCGAGCGGCTGCGGCTGTAAGGAAAATCCACCAAGGATGCTCTCAGGCGCTCCGACCCAACACGGACCCTTTCCTCAACGCAAAGGTTGGAAGCCGCTCGGCCTGGTGCATTGCTGAGATGGTACCCTAGAGTAAATCAACCCAAGCAGTGCGCTGGAAATGGTGTCAGCGCATTGCCGACTCCAGCACCTCAATGCGCTGACACCGGAGCTGCTTCCACGAGACGATGGCTGTCAAGTCAAGGGTGGCGCGGGCTCTTTTTCCTGCGCTGGCCTCCTGTGCCTCACGGCGTCGCGTCCACCCAGCCGCCATCGCGACAACTCACACAGATCATGGGAATGCGGGGCTGCGCATCTGTTAATCGAACCCTTCGCAAGGACCACAACAAAGGATTGAACATATCAATCGAAGCCAGCCCAGCCCCTAAATTGATAAAGCAAGGTGAACTCAATGCTCGCGTAGCTTTTTCGTGACACAACAAAGAACAACAGCAAGGAACACAACACCAACATACTCCCACCAACCAAGCCACAAGTAGATTATTATCCTCGTGTCCAAACCCACAATAAGGGAACCCCGTTTCTTTCAAGTACTTACTTGTTTTCTGGGGGGCTTGGGGGATCCTGTTGGTTTCCTCTTACAACACTCCCCAAAAAAATAGGTGTTCGGTTGGTTTTCCTTTGTTTCTGTTGTGCTGTTTCCTTTTCTATTTGGGGGGGAGGGATTTTGTTGGTTTCCGTTTACACCCCCCCCCCAAAAAAAAAAACATAATAATGGGTGTAAAAAACACCCGCCCAAGAAGCTCGCCTGAACTCTGGTGCGGGGCGTCAGGGCATTGGTGACGTCCAGCATCAACTCGCCAGAGGAGTGGCCGAGCCTGCCGCACACGGCCAAAAAGTGAGTCACACTCAAAACCCGGTATTAAAATGGTCCACCCAGAACCATGCTTCAAGAATTAAGAAGGCGGATCTCCGCAACCATTGGTTGGGATTGTCCCTGACCTTCATCTACCTGAATTGGTTTTCATCATGGCTCAAGTGATGCTCCTGTGGCTCAGGTGCCTCAAAGGACTGAACTACAAAACCCAGCTTCTCAGTTCCAAACGCGTGGATTTCCCAAAACAATATGCACTTTGTCTAGGTCCTCCAGTTGAGAACTCAGAATGTGTTCGGCCAAGTCCGTGCTAGCCTAGGCCATAGACCGCCCCAGTAGAGGGCTGAACAACCCCAAGTGGCTAACCACTTACTAACTTGGCCACGAACATCCAAGTAGGGCCCCAGAACTTGGAAGGACAACACTCTTTTTTTTTACCAAGTCGAAACCACAAGGTCAAAAGGTCCATTTGCTTTCGGCAAGTGGGCTGAACAAAACAAAAGTACGTATGACACTTTTGTACCATTATCCCCTAGTATCGTTCTTCTGTGTTTACTTCTTCTTTGTTGGATTGAACCATATGTTCTCATAAAAACGAAGAAAACACATATGTATATATATATATGTATGTTGTTTTCTCCTCATCATCGCTTTACAATGTTTTGAGGGCTACAAGTTCTTCTGTGCACTCTAAGTCCTTGGCGTGGCCAGAAACGCAGGCAGCAGGTAGGCAGCCGCGCAGGGACGTGTTTCGCGTGTTTCAAACGGTTCGATCATCCGGAGCCGGAGGAGTGCGAAGATGGGGCTTAGTCAATATTCCGTTCGGCCCCACAACGGTCACTTCTCCCAGGTGGTGAAAGCCATCTTTTGCGGTGGTTTCCCGAATGGTCAGCCGATGCATCACAGACCTTTTGATCAACCCCCAAATAGCAAACCAAAGGCACACCGCAGTTGGGCAGTTGGTTGCATTTGGCAGGCAGTATCGGGTAGGCATCGATTGAGTATCGGTTTGAGTATGGCTTCGGGGCTCCGAAACCTCAACTTGACAACAATGGCCTCGTAATCTTAACCCCGGATTAATAAACCCCTGGTGGAATTTTCTTGGGGGGTGTCCCCTTTTAGTGGGGATACAAAGACCACTTTTGGGGGGAACAGCCCCTCATAATGGGACGCGTTTTTTTTGGTCCTGGGTCAACATTATAGCTTGTGCAGCTCACAAGAGCCCCATGAATTTACTCTCTACCTCGCAAAGTGTTATGATTGTGTGCAAGTCATCAAAATGAGGTTTCAAGACTTTGTGGAAACATATTGGTTGCACTTCTTACAACACTTGAGTCCAGCTGGTACAGATGGAACGGGCGGCGGACCACCTGGACCCGCATGCGGCAAAACAGGAATGCATCCCTCTTCCAGGAGCAAAATCCGATCCACCGAGACCCAAAAGTAATTGTCCGAAGGGAACCCTCTTTGGGGCTTGGACCATTTTTAGTGGGGCAGCCACCAACAAGGGAAAAAGAATTGGTGCCACTGAACAACTCAGAAATGCTTTCCACTTGGCACGCTCGAAGCCTTCAAAAGGCTTTCCACTTGGCGCCCAGCCTGAGGAAGCTCGTGCTGCTGACGGAGCAGACGTCCAAGAGCTGCCCCGTGCAGCCCGGAAAGCTGGGCGGGCAGTCCTGCAGTGGAAAATGGAGCCAACGGTGAGCTTCAGACCTACGATTCCCCAAAATGGTGGATTTCCTTCTGGTTTCAAAAAGGGTAGCCTTAAAAAACGACCAACCCACACCCCAACCGCAAGGCACAAATTCTTCCACAAATAACTTTACCACAGAAAGGCTTCAGGCTTCAAGGTTGTGGGAAAACTATCCTTGCGAAAACATGGGCCATTCCCTTGACTACTTTATACTAAATGGGATGCCTTTAGTCACAAAAGAGCCAGACCCGCACAGATTCCCGAGCATTTCAGTCCTTTAGGTGTGAAGGAATTCTGAATTCTGAATCTGCATAGGGTCACAGGCCTTGACGAGTCCAAACCTCCAATCTCCTTGAAGACTAAAGGGCTCCATGGCGCGCATGCCCCGTTTTGGTGGGTGTTCATGCTAAAGGGAAACCTCAAGGAAACCGTTGCCATTTTAGGAGGGGGGGTTCTACTAGGTCCACTAGGTCTTCCAGTAGAGAGGTTAGAATAAGTTGGTACCAACTTCTCTCTGTATGGTCTATTTTAGTAGGGAACCCTCAAGGATAAAAGGGCACTACTGGGGCCCTAGGCTCCATGGTGGTGAAAGGAAACCTCCTCAACAGGGGCGTGTTTGGTATGCCTGTGGGTGCGGGGGTTGGTAGGCGGGCGCGCATTTGCCGTGCGCGTGCGTGTCCGGGCGTGCATCCGAGCGGGCGCGGGCGGGCATGCGTGCGTGCGTGCACGCGCGCGCGTGTGTGTGGGTTTGCGTGTCTGCGTTGCGTTCGTGTGCTCAAGGTCCCCCAAAGCAGCATGTGAGTCCTGCATAGTGCATGGGCTGCTTCATAGTGGTTGCAAATGGGTTCGGGGCTGGGGGCCCAGTCCTTTCGCTGCTGGCGCAAGATTAGCAGAAAAGGAAGCAACTACACATTTGGGGGCCCAGGTGCTTGTTTTTGCCGCGAGAAGCTTGCTTCACAAGGACGATCTCTTTGCCAACAGGAGCAACCAAATTGTGGTAGATTCATGTTGGCGTCCTTGCACAACGTGCCAAAAACCGGAGATCCTTTTCGGTATCCCCTCTAAAGGGCGTCACAGGGCGGCACCGGGAGAAACACCTTTTAATACATACCCGACGACGCACATGTTGCGCGTCAATGGGTGACACCTCGGGCTGCCTTCAATGAGCTCCTGAATGGGACAACATGTCAAATAGGTATGTGCCACAAGTAGGTATCCCAGCCGCGTGATCAGCCTGCAGCAACACTACTTCTCGGAAAACTACCGGCAGCTCCTTTTGGGGGGCCCCTTTTTGGCCTCCTGCCGTTCATTTACAGGCAAGCAAGAAAAAACATGAGAGGCATTGTCCTGAAAAGGGGCCCTTTCAGGGGTGACTTCCCCTTCAAAAGTTGCCAAAGCAAGAAGGGCGCCGTCTGGGACGACTGTTCAACTTTTGGAGGTAACCCAAAAAGGGGAAAGGGCTCGCAACCCGGAAAATCCCTTCAAAACCACCACCCCCCCTTTCGATGGCTGGCAAATGGCCCAACAAATGGCCCAACAAATGGCCCAAAGAAGGTCACGCACAAGCATTTGACAGCCGTTCGGGGGTCCTGGTTCGGATTGTTTTGCTCTGTGCTTGCGATAGTGTTGGGCGGGCAAAGGGGATTGGAGTGGTGGTTCCATGTGCATCCGTTGGCCACCCCTGCCTGTTCAAGCATGGCAACAAACCGCCCGGTACTTTGATACTAGGTCCTCCAGTAGAGAGGTTAGACTAAGGGTGGGTGCCAACCTTTTTCTGTATTTTACTAGACGAAAACCCTCCCCCAGGAAAGGGCACTTCCCTGCAGAGGGGTCCCGATTTGCCCGTAGACAAAGGAGGTTGACCAAATTTAGCGAAAAACCCGAACAAAGAACAGCAAGCAGTCAACCGAACGGGTCCGCAACTGGGCGTGTGGACCCATGTTGCAACCTGCCAACCGGTCCTGGCTTTTCGCCTCTCCCCTCTTCAGAGAGGCCGCTGCGCGGGTTCGAGTTCGCGCCGTGTCAGCATCGGTCGCCGATTCCAGTGGGGACCGGGCGTCCAAATTCAAACCCACCTGCAGCAAGTTGGTGTCACAATCCTCGGGCGCACGACGGGAGCCAAAGGCACTTGAACAAAAACATGCGGTGGCGGGACGCCTTTTGGTTTGCTTCTCAAACCAACGTCTCGCAACTCAGGAACTGAGAATGGTCAAGAGGCATCATTGTCACGGTTCAGGATCCTTAGCTGGGTATTTTGACCATGGCGCGCCTGCCCCGTTTTGGTGGGTGAAACCCCAAGGAAACCGTTGCCATTTTAGGAGGGGGGGGGCTCCCAAAAAGGACAAACCCGCGTCTGGGCGAAGCGCTGTGGAGCAAACTTCTGCGAAGCCAAGCCATAGCTCTGCGTGAAAAACTAGTTGCAGAAGTGAAAGCATTCGACCGGCGGGTTTTCCGGTCTTGAGTCGAGAAGCTGGTCGGCAAATGGTCCGGCAACCCTTAGTTGGCAACCCTTAGGTTTCCCCCTGCTCCACCAAACCACCAAGAGGGAAGCTGAGATTTCTGACCATTCAAAGGGAGCCAAAGCCTCCAACTTCTGCCTATGGTTTACGCCAAAGGTCTTAAGGTCTACTAGGCAAGGGGAAGGGTCAGGGGGAAGCTCACTCACTCGCCAAAAAAGAATCGAGTTCACCGGTTTTGCACTCACTTACAAACACGGATATTCGCATTCACTCGGAAAACAAGCTGTGGTTTACAAGGCTCCCTATTCCCGGTTAACCAGCACCCAGGCACTCACTGACTTTACAACCCTTGGTATGGTAGCAATAAATTGTGTGTTTTGCAGCCCTCTACTCAAAATGAACAGAGCCCCCTCTTCAAAAAAAAGACTTGCCAACATTGAAGAAACAAACAAACAAACAAACAAACAAACAAGCAAACAAGCAAGCAATCAAACAAGAAAACAAGCCAACAAACAAACAAGCAAACAAACAAGCAAACAAACAAGCAAACAAACACACAAACCAACCAACCAACCAACCAACCAACCAACCAACCAACCAACCAACCAACCAACCAACCAACCAACCAACCAACCAACCAACCAACCAACCAACCAACCAACGAACCAACCAACCAACGAACCAACCAACCAACCAACCAACCAGCCAGCCAACAAACAAACAAACAAACAAACAAACAAACAAAGAAACAAAGAAACAAACAAACAAATAAACAAATAAACAAGACAAACAGTGAATAATCAAACAAAACAACACATATAAAGAAAGAAATACAGAAAGAAATAACAAAACCAATTGCAAAATAAATAAACAAATAAATGCAAAACAAATAATAATGAAAGGAATAAATAAAGAAAGACAGAAAGAAAGACAGAAATAAACAAAGAAAGAAAGAAAGAAAGAAATAAAGAAATAAATAAAGAAAGAAACAAACAACTTGCCATCAGTGAGGCTGAGAAATGGGCCCGAAGGCGATAGGCCCATCGAACATAAAACTGAGCCCTGGCTTCACAAGCCATACGACAATGGCTGAGTCACTCGGCAAAGATGGCTTATGGAGTTCCTGATTAGGCTGGAAAAATCGGGACCCGGCAAAAACATGATCTTTTTTGCCTGGAAAAGGTGGAAAACAAAGGGGACCCCAAAACAGCAAAAAAGGAAAAAGGGGAGCTAATTTTGGGGAAGACTAGGAACCTTTAGGCGCACTTCCTGCCCCGCTCCAAATATATACATATACATGTATATATATATATATATGCATAGATATATAGATACAATATATTATGCCTGTTGGTACTGTTCTACTTAGGTCATTGCTACCTGTAGGATTTAGCCGCCTAAACATTTTTGTTTTTGGTTTTAGTACCATGGCAACTGACGGCACTGAATGAGTTGGCAAGGTTGCTTGGGAAGGAGACTCCGAATACTCAGTTGAAAAAATGGGTGGCTTGGAGCCCTGTGGTTTGGTGCTTAGGGGGGGTGAACCCCATTTACCCTCAGGAAACAAGGCTCTCAGTTGTTCAGTGACCCTGGAAAAAAGGGGAACCCTTTTTTGGGAAGATCATTTTTAGTGGGGCAGCCCCTGAACAACTGAGATGACTAACAGTGGACCGTACAAGGTAAGCCAAAAGCTCAGATCCGGTCGGAATCGTTTCGGAGTGAGAAGAAGTTTGGTCCAGGGCCAAATAAATACCTAATCGTTTAACCCCTTCGGTTTCATTTTAGCGCGAACCAGAATCTTGCTGTTGCGAGGTGTACCCATAGATCCCTTCTTTCCCAGGGCAGCTCATCAAAATTTGCCCAACATGGATTCAATTTAGACTTCTAGAGCTGGAGTTTCCCCTTGTCCTAGACCATCTCTCTTCTCAAAAACCAGAGGTCTTCCGAAATTAGATTGGCGGTTTTCGGAGAAGGATCCCAGGCAAGCTTCAATCATGCCTTTGGCATACTGGGGTTCTAAACCTCATAACTGGATTTGGTCTACTGGGTTAATGCAATCATCCAGTTGCTGAAGTCCCCTGGAAAAAAGCGAACATAGTTCCAGTGGTGTTTCATTCCCTTAAAACCAGGGGACAAAAACGTGCCCAGGTATCCCCACAGCACGGGAACCCTCTGGCAACCTCCACCCAGGAGCTTGGGCAACGACCCCAAATCGCTTTCAGCTGGGGAAAAAAAGGAATAAAAAAAACATGAAAGGAGACTCCCCGCCAAAAAACCTCCTGGTCCCTCGGTTGCTTTCTGCTCCCCTGCTAAAAGTGAATAACTTTTAGTGGTTTAATGGAAAAAACTGGGCTGCCCGTTTTCCGATCCCCCGCGAAAAGTGAAAAACTTTTAGTGGGTTAAATTCGGAAACTACCACTAAACATTAAAAAGCTAAAAGGCTAAGGCTGGGAGCCACCAAGAAAAAACATGAAAGGAGACTCCCTCCCGCCAAAAAAATATCGTGGTCCTTCCCTTCCAACCAACCCCAAACCAGGTATTGAAAAAAAAGGACAGATCCAAATAAATCTGGCTGTGGCCCAAAATTCAAGAGCTAGGATTACGCAGGTGCCAGTCCACCAAGGGGGCCATTTGGGCACATTTGTTTGAGCCACAGCCAAATCAAGAGGTAAATCTACCATGGTTGAAAACCGGGTTTTCCAAAAACAAAAAGACGGCCGCCTACGAAAAACAAAGCCAACGCAAGCCATTTGTTTGACCAAACCGATGCGACTTGCCCGAAGAGACGCTTCTTCTCAAGCGGGGCCTCCAAGTCTTCCAGCAGCTTGGCACCTAAGAGAGACATGTTTCGTGGATCCCCAGGGGGGGGGAGTTGCTATTCGAACAATGGTCGGGGCGAGGGGGGGGTTGTGTTGGGGGGGAGGGCTTTGTTACATGGAGGGGGAAGGTTGTTGTTTGGGGGAGAAGGGGGGGTATTGTTCCATGGGGGCGGGGGACTGAACATTTAGCATGCCCCAATGGTTTCATGGAATCCAGACTCAAAACTCAGCAAGCAAGTCAAGTTGCTCAAGGGTTTCTGGCAGCTGGGACCCGCGAAAGCCATGGTTCCCGTCCAGGTTCTGTCACCAGGCTTACTAACCAGTGTCAGCTCGTCTGCCCAACGCAACGGAGCAACGACCAGCTGAACTCTTAGGCAGTGTTGCCCCACACCACAGCCCAAGACCTCACTCTTTGAGGCTTTTAGGGGGTCCAGGCCCTCATATTTAGGGCCCAAGAACAGGACAGGGCTTAGTTTTTGTTCTTCTTCTTTTTTTTTAAAAAAAAAAAAAAAAAATGTATATATAGAATATTAGAATATATATATATATATATATATATTTCGCAGGTGCGCACTCCAAGCTCGGCATGGTTGATGGATCATGATGACCCCCACACTAATCACCAAATTCCAGTTGATTTCATTGGGGCTGGTTTTTGGCCCCTCCAGAAGTGGTCTGATTTCCCACATTTCACCCAGAGAAAAATGCAGCCCCTTATGAATAAAAGCTGGTTGGTTGATTCAAAGGGGGTAAGTTTCATGATCCTTCTCAAGCCGGCCTTAGGTCTTGGGATCGATCGATTCTCTTTTCATTGCGCTCTGCATTGTTCTCTTGGATGACCCTCAACATTCGTTCAGGAATCGGTTGGATCCAAAGCACGGTCTACAAGTTCCCAGACAAGCTCACTTCCGAACGAGTGGATTGGCCAGAACAAGTTGAAACTGCTCGCTTGCCACGAACATGGCCTTCCCAAACCCAAAAAGTGAGTCTGAAGTCCGAGTTTCGGAACTCGTTGGACGTGAGTTATGGAGTCCCTAGGGGTTGGGGGGGTGGTCTGAAGGAATGCGTTCAAGGCTCGCGAAGCAACCAGAGCCCCAAGCATCCATTTGCTGAAGTCTGGGAAAAATATGCAAATACTTCCAGTACAATCGATCCCCTGTTCAAAATTAATAGGGGGGAAATAACAAAGATATTCATTTCAGCAAATGGAAGCGAGTGAAGCAAAATCAAAAGGGGAAAAAAACAAAACAAAACAAAAACGAAAAAAAAAATCATCTCAATAAAAGTGAAGGACCTACATCACGTCGTTCAATTTTCGACTCGGTGAGCTAGGCCCCCCTGCAGGTTTCCATCAGGTAGCCCACGCCCTCCACAGAGCCCTCGGTACCGGTCGCGAGACTCGTCTTTAGGCTCCGCCCAACTTAGTGACCCAGAAACAGAACTTTCCTTGGTTGACGTTGGAAGGGGAGCAAAAAAATAAATTTTAGCAGTTAAATCGGGATTTCCCACTAAACCACAATAATAAGCAAAAATGTAAAATGCTTCCCAACAACAAGCATGTAGGGACCCAGAAACAGAACTTTCCAACCCTTGAAGTATCAAAAAAAAACTGAGTCTGTTTTTGCGGGCCCCTAACACAGAACCAACAACAACCTAAAACTCACTTGCCCAAAGGACCCAGAAATAAAAGGTTAACCTTTTGGGGCCATGACTAAAACTAGACCAAAAAGGAAAAACCAAAAGGCCAAAAGGTCGGCTTTGGGCAACTGAGAAAACCTAAACACATGCTAACAACAGTGAAACAAGGTTCGACCTTGACTAATGGACCACGAACAGAAAAACCAAAGGACAAATCCGGTTGATTCGGTCCTTACTGAGTAGATCCCCAGATTGTGATTCTCCTTTTTGTTGTCCCTTTAAAGCCACAAAAGAGGGGATACCCTGAGAGAAGAAAACACACCCACCTAGCATCCCCATTGGACGTTTCAGGCGTCCCTGCAGTTAAGCCGAACGAAAGAGTTACTCACTAACTGAGGCAGATCGCACTCGAGAATGGAATGCGAAAAAATAATAATAATATTATAATTATCTAAATCCCTAAATTATTAAAGATAGAAATCAATTCTCTGTATATGACACCTTGATAAATTCTGAAAATCGTAATGTCTTTAAACGAAATTCAAGCTCTGTGTTT